GCCCGCGGGTGTCCACCCTGAGGGCGCCTGCCCGGGTGGGACAGGACCTGGCTGGGGGGGCTGGTATTACCTGGGGCACGGCCTGATGCCTCCTCCCTCCCCGGGGCCTCCACGCGCGAGAGGTGGAAGAAGTAGGTTTGTGGAGATGACCGTGCTGTAAAAAATAACGATAATGAGAAAGAAATCCACTGGCATGGCGTTGCTTTTCCTCAGTCACCCCATGAAACGAGAGGAGCTTCAGGTCTCCAGGGCCAGCGTGGCCACCAGAGCTGTGGCTGGGGCAACAGTGAAGGGATCTCACAGGCTGTGCTGGGGAGACAGTTGCTTTAATCTGTAGGGATTTTTTTTTTTTTTTTCAATGCCTTCACTTCTTTGTGTCATTGGTACTATTGTACATGATACTGATCTCTTTCTAAAATATTTTCAAATGTAATAGTTCTAGTTCCATCTCCGTAGTCTTTGGAATTGCACTTCATTGATCTAAGAAATTTCCTTTTTCCTCCAGTCTTCTTCCCAGATTGTTGGTTTTAGGAAGATGTGATGGGAGGAAAAAGTGCATCCAAAATCAAAGTAGAAACAAGGGGTAAGAGGCCTTTTATTTAAGACTAAACCTTTCATTTAGTTAACTTAGGATTTCTACTAACTGCATAGTGGTATATGTGAATCCTGGTTATTATATCTGCTTGCTACTTCTTCCTCCCACCCCACTGCTGAAAATAGCCTAATTCTGCTATTGTGTATCTTACGCAGTTGATAAGCGGATTGAATCAGAGGAGTCGGGAGATGAAGAAGGGAAGAAGCAAACAGTTCGCTTAGTAACAGACCTCAGTCAGCAGAGCCTGAGAGATGAGCAGAATGGTGAGAACTCCACAGGTACCTTGCCAACCGAAACGGATGTGTCGTCTTTACCAGTAGCATATGTGTATCAGTCCCTTGCGTTTCTTGTCGCTATGTGATGGTTGTATCAATGTTAGTTAACAATGTGAATCTGCCCTTTGAGCAGTCTTCTTTAAAAATAAATAAATGATAGTGTTATCATTGTTAAAAATAAAGTTGCCTGCTTTTTATGGAACCACTGATATTAGACCTTTGTTTTTTTTCTTATTTATTTATCCATTCACACTTCTGTTTGAAATCTTTCACACTGAAATGCAAAACAACTTTCTTCATACTTTGTTTCTGTGGAAACACAGTAACTTTCTGTGGAAGGATGCTGGAAATGTTCGTTAGAAATAAACAGAAACAGCTTTTCATAATTCTGCTTTAATGTAGGTAGTTCTTTACCTAAAGAGTTGCCAGGTTTCTGTGGAAGGCAAAGATAACTATTTCTAGATAGACTGAAGGAAGGTCAATATTGTATCTGTGTGAATCCTCTGGATTTTAAACTTTTGCTACTGTTTGTATTAGAACATTGAGTAGAAATGTTGCTTTTTGAAGCCTGTGTGTTTGATGGAAGGGTTTGCTTTTCCCTGGCTTGCATGGAATTTGTCAGAGCAGTTGCATTTCTGAAGATATTTCTGTATGGCAATATGATCTGGGCTTTTGGTGCTAGCTAACAATCTGAGGTGTAATAGCATCCTTTTGCTAGAGAAGTTTATGTTTATGTTATTGGTCTGGAAACGGAAGTGAAATAATAGCAGCAAAATTTCTGCAGCAAATTTTAATCCTCTTTGACTGCGGATCCCTCCTCATCTTAAAAAAAAAGTATTTTCCAAACTAGATGGCTATTGTGAGAATTTTAAATCTCATCTCCTAACAATAAATGAATTCTATCTAGGTAGAATTCATTGTTGATCATTAAAAGAACCCCTATGTATTAATTAAAAAATGTTGTGGTGATGTCTATAAAAGTGTAAGAGTGCACCTTGTAAATTGTACTTCCCAAGCACTGTGTGATCGACACAGCCGGGCGGATCAGTTGGTCACAGTTTTTCTTTGCGTGCGTGGAACACTGAGTGTTCCTTCAGCTGACCTAACTTAGCTGTGCATTTGAGGTGATGTTTTGTACATTGTTCCCCTGGGAATTACAATATTAGAGAAAATACTTCAAGTGCTGTATATTTATGCCAGTGACAGCAGGAAAAACACATTCTTAATTGGTCGCTGAATTACATTGGATACTACTTAATGTCATGACTTGATTGTGGCTACTTCTTCCAAAGTGCTGGGATTCAGAAAACTTTTCTTAGGGCAGAAACCAAGCAGAGGAATAATTTTGGAACATTTGAGTTAGTTTCCGAAGCTAGCTTCTGAATTTCTCAGCTGAAAGGGAAATGAAGAGTGTTCCACATTTTTTCACAGATGATCATAAATAGAAAGAGCTCAAGCAGCTGAAATTTCAGATGTATCATTTAGCTAATTATCTGAGGAGTAGTGCCTCTGTTTAGAAAGCTTATAACTTTGCTATTTATACTATTTTTCCATGCATATGCAGTTAAAAAGTGTAGTTAGGCTTCTAGTTGCTTGAAATGCTTGTGGTACAGTGAACTTACATAACTCAGTAACTCCTGTTCCGTACTGCGGAATTTGGGTTTCCTGAATGTCGTATTTTTTTCCTACATCTGCAAAGCTGTGTAGCTCGCAGGCATGGATTACACAAAAATTCTCTTAAGTAACTTGACTGCCAGAGCAATGTTTTTTCTCCCCTTGAGAAACCTGCTGCATTAAAAACTGTGCGCTAAAGCACTATTTGCATACTGACTGCCTGCAAGTGCAATTGCAGTTCTGTTTGTAAAATGACTGTAGAAGGGTCAGTTTAGAGTGTTTTATGTCCACTTGGTTCATAAATAAAATGTTAGTTAACAATAGATAGGACTGTAAAATTGCTAGAACCATTTTTGCTTCTTGTTTGAGAGAAAATGTACTGTAACATCCTTGTACCAATGCTGATTTATCAGTGTTATCACTATATGTGTCTCAGCCTGCTATATAGGTAGTGTTTATACACAGTACATAAATTCTATGAAAGTTGACCTTATTAGATAAATGCCAGTGCCTCTGTGTTCAGTTTTTCAGTGAATTCAGTACATGTATCCTGTGTGATTTGTGTTTGTGCCTCTGGACTTGAGTGCTTTTCTCCCCGTACTGACTCTACTAGGACTGGTCACTCTAAGCCGTATGGCAAAAATACGAGGAGCTACCCTTTGACAGATCCTGGAACAGAGTATTTCACACATTGCCAAAACCAAGTGTGTGTGAATGGTCTGTAATGGGTGCTGTGATGAAACATGTCATTTTATAGAGAAGCCTGCCAGCTAAACAAGGTCAAATAAGTTGGGGGTTTTTTTACTTGAAATTTTTTTTTGGTTGAAGATTTTTTTTTTACTGAGTGCATAACTGGCTTTACTGTTTGACAACTTTAAAGTCTCAAAAGGAGAAGTTCCTTCACCATGAGTACTAACTTATTGCTAGTACAACTTAATACAAGGGAAATGGATTTTTTTTTTTAATGTGATATCTTAAATAACTGTTGTTCCAAACTTGGGCTGTGTTCCTGTTGGCTGCAAATTCAGCTAGGGTGCTTGTTTGGTGTGGAGCACTTTGTGCTGGCAGCCCTTTGCACCCTAGAAATAGGTCAAAGACGTGCAGCCTTGGTGGTAGCAGGGTAGGATATTGCACTCCCCTGCACAGCTCCTGATCTGGAAAAAAAAGAAGAAAATTTGAGTGTTACCCACTGCTAAAACACAGGCATATGTGTGCATGTCAGCTTTGGTGGCATTTCTGTACTGCCATTCAATGTCACCAAGCCTACTGGCTCATTTTGTGTCCCCGAAATATAATTTCTGCTATAAAGAATATTAAAAGATGAAGGACAGAGGATTGCTTTTCAGTCTTAACTTCCTTGAGTCAGTTCAGTTACTACTCTTTCCTGTTTGAATGCCCAGGCAAGAGCAGCAGCCCAAGTACAGCAAGGTAAATGATGGTTTGATGGCAGTATTAAAAGTTGTAACACTTGTACTGTTCATCCTGACAGTACTACTGACAGTGCCAAGCATCAGTAGGAAAAGCACTCGTTAAGTATAGGGGACATTTTGCGCTTACAAGGCAGTTATGACCATGCTGGGCTGTAAAAATAGTCCTTACTTCTGGCTTAATGGAACAAACCTGCATGCAGTACTGCAGGAGTTAACACTCCTGGGATTTGGCTGGAATTAAGGTTTCTTGGGTTTTTGGTAGTATAGACAGAAGCTACATGTGTGAAGTGGAAAGGGGTTGCGTGTTGTATGTCTGTTTTGCAAAGTCAAATTAGACTTTCTTTGGAAATTAATACAACAGCACTCCATCTTCAACAAATGGGGAGTGGGTATGAATTATTTAGCATGAATTTATCCAGGAAACTTCATTCCCTCTTGTGCTGTGATAGAAGCACAGCAAATGTTGGGCTGTCTTCCAGAGCTATATAGGCATTTCCCAAGGAAATGTATACAGTGTGAGAAACAGTGGTTTCTAGCCTGCTAGTGAGTTCAGTCAGACCAAAAAAAAGGGAGATCCATGCAAAAGTGTGCACAACATTGACATAAACTGGCAGTATTTATGAAAGAAAAGCTGAAAGATGGGATTGCTGACGTGCTTGGTAATTCCTGGCACTATCACTAGATAGTTTAGATTTCTTCTTGGCCATGTTGCATTAGGTTGTCGGATAAGCTTAGACACTTTGGATGGTGTATCTTCAGAGGGATGATGGTCCTAAGTGTGGAGAAAAGGAATCCAGCCCAGATTTAATGCTTAAGCCAGCGTTATCCAGCAGCTGCACAGGCAGGCTGGCGGAGGTGCCGGTCTTTTGTGTGTCCACAGAAGGGCAACGGAGCTGGGGAAGGGTCTGGAGCACAAGTGTGATGAGTTCACGGCTGAGGGAACTGGGGTTGTTGATCCTGGAGAAAAGGAGGCCGAGGGGAGACCTTCTGGCTCTCTCCAGCTCCCTGAAAGGAGGGTGCAGAGAGGTGAGGGTGGGTCTGTTCAACCAAGGACCAAGTGACAGGACAAGAAGAAATGGCCTCAAGTTGCTCCAAGGGCAGTTGAGATTGGATGTGAGGAAGAATTTCTTTGCAGAAAGGGTTCTGAGGCATTGGCAGGGGTTGCCCAGGGCAGTGGTGGAGTCCCCATCCCTGGAGGGATTGAAGAGTCGTGTAGATATGGCCCTTAAGGACATGGCGCAGTGGGCGTGGTGGTGTTGGGTTGACAGTTGGGCTTGATCTTAAAGGTCTTTTCCAACTTCAGTGATTCTCTGATTCCGTCTTTTGCATCTAGGCATGAAATTCTATTGTTAAGAATAGTTATTGCCCGGAGAAGCTGTGGCTGCTCCTCCCTGGAAGTGTTGAAGGCCAGGTTGGATGAGGCTTTGATCAACCTGGTCTAGTGGAAGGTGTCCCTGCTGATGACAGGGGGGGTTGGAACTGGGTGAGCTTTAAGGTCCCTTCCAATCCAAACCATCCTGTGATTCTATGATTCTGTGAAAGCTTTTTTCATTATTGGCTGTCTCAATGAAAGCCAAACAGGTGAAGTGTATTTTTAATGCAGCAGAATATCCGAACTGTGCATCTCGTGTGTTTCTTCTTCTGAGGAGCGTTTGCTCCCTCTGTCTCCCCGGGTGTTAGCCGTTGATATCTTGCCTTTAGCTGTCAGGGAGCAGAAGTTTCTAATATATTTGCTTTTCCTGCAGGAGAAGCAGAGACACCAGTGGACATGGAGACAATTAACCTGGACCCAGAAGCTGAGGTAAAGGTAGATTTTTGTCCTCATGGGCTTCATACAGTGGGAATAAAAGGTAGGCAAAGGCAAGTATTGAAACCTGGTTAAAAGACCTAATTCTTCTGAAGGTGCTGGCTACTATGATCTTCCTGGGAATTAATTCAGCACCTTTAGACTAGAAATAGAGATGTTGTATTCTTGATCATTAGCTGAAACGTTTTGTTAGTAATTAAGAATTTTAAATGAAGCATGGAGGCACTGAAAATGGGGCTGTGCTGCAGGCACTATTGACAAGCTACAAGCTTTTATGAGAATATCTTTAATGAACTGGTTGCTGATGATTTTTAATGGGCACAGCTACTCAACCAGCCCTGTGCCTTGACATTGGCAGCCTCAAGAGCCTGTTAGCTGGAGAGTTTTTGAGCGTGGGTGGTGAAGTGCTCCATTTCTTTTTGATTGACTGACCTGCTAAACTGGAACATCTGGGGCTGGACAGCTGATTGCCAGTGCAGAGTTAATGTTCACAGAACCATCAGATTATTTGAATTTTCAATGATTCCTGTTCCTATGAGGCCTGGAAGTGGAAATAGCAGGGTGTGTTCCGGTTAAGCCCTAGCAAAGTGGGTAAGAGAGTTTTATGCAATGCTTTATTCATGATAGACAGCAGAATTTGTCTGTCTCAGGAAATTCAGAATTTACTGCAAAAGATTTCTAATTTTGGTGAAACAATGCTTGGACTCAGGAAAGAGCTGTTGCCTTTTTGCAGATGCTGTGTTTGCAGTTGACTAGCTTAGGCCATGTGTTTCACCTGTGGTGGTAAAATCACGTGCCAAACCCAATTTTCACAAGCTCTTTGAAGGGAAGTTTTAATGAGCTACACATTTTAAGGCTATAATTTTCCTTAGAACAAAGTGCCAGGTTGGTCTTTGAAAAGTGTTTTGAAACAACTGCTGGATCTTGCCATTTCTTTTTCAGGATGTTGACTTGAATCACTTCCGAATTGGGAAGATTGAAGGATTTGAGGTGCTCAAGAAAGTGAAGGTAAGAGTCCTAAGGAACAGAGAATGCCTTTTTGAACTGGAGATTTTGCATTTCTGACCTATGAGAGGGCAGATAACAGCAGTCTCTTGACTGAGATCCTGATTAGTTCGCTTCATGTTTAACTGAAGGAGGTCGTGTTTGTCAAGTAGTAATAAAAATCCTGGGATTTTGCAAGTTGGTTTTAGAAGTGGCTGAGAGAGAATGCGCCAGGGCTCATCCAAAGAGATACATTCTGTACTTGCACAGCAGGCTTGACAGAGAATAATGTAGCTTGGAAAGGACCTCTGGAGGTATGTAGTACCCCTGCTCAAAGTGGGTCCAGTTAGAGCATGCTGCTTAAGGCCTTCTCCAGTCAAGCTCTTGAGTGTTTCCAAGGCTATTACGTAGCCTCTCTGGTGTGTTGTAAAAGTGTCTGACCGTCTTTGTGGTAAAAAGATTTCCTTCTGTAGAGTTGAAATAAAAGAAAAGATTATATTTTAAAACAAAACAAATCCCCAACAAAACTTAATGGGGGGAAAAAACCCCTCCACCTTGTTGTCTGTATGCCAGCAGGCATTACATGTCATGATTCGTGTCCGTTTTCCTGTTTGTTTTTAAACTTTTTCCCAACTATTAGACTCTGTGTCTCCGTCAGAATTTGATTAAGCGCATTGAGAACCTGGAGCAGTTGCAGACCTTGCGGGAACTGGATCTCTATGACAATCAAATTCGGAAGATCGAGAACTTGGAGTCTCTGGTGGAACTTGAGTGAGTCCAGGGGAATCACCAGGATTAGGCTGAGGGTGGTTTGCCCCTCGCCGAGTTACTCATGCTGTACTTACTCCTGTATTTATTACCCGGGCCTTTCTCATGATTCATTTGGGTGCTCTGTGAAGGATAATATCTGTTCTCCGTTGTTATTTAACCTGTGCAGTAAACTAGTTTCATTATCCTGAAGCTTACTAGGAACAATCATCTGAAAATGAAACGTGCTGTATAAGGTAGTGAGAATTATAAGGTGACTGCAGGCATGGAAGCGCTCAGGCACCCCTTCCTCTTGGCAAGAAGAGCTCTGTATAACGGGTTTTTATTGCTGCAAAGGATGACGAGATTTCAGATGAGATTAGGACTTTTTTTGGAGTGTGTTAGGGAAGGAGTAGGGCTCTTCCCATCAGTTTCTGGCACTTGTCTATGATCGCTCTGGAGATGCGTTACAGAACTGTTCCCACTGTGGCGAGGAGGACTGGTCTACTTCCCTCAGTCACAACTGCTTCGTGCTTATGGGAGGCCTTGGCATTTTCCTGTCAGACGTGGATCTTGTAGGCATGTGCCTTTCTCAAGGAATGTGCAGTACTAACGACTGGCTTCCTCCCCCAGTGGCAGCTTCACAGCTGGGCAAAATAATGGCTCTCTTCTGCATGTGACAGGTTATTATTTTTTTTTTTTTTTTTCCACTGACACACTATAGAAGTATTTTGAAAATTATATTTGTTGTAATTTCTGATAAAAAGAAATGACACTTAGGACTTCAGCTTTGAGAGACCTAGCAAAGTGCTTGATCCCTGCAGTCAGGGAGGTTCCCCACCAATTTACAAGTGCTTCTTCCAGAATAATCCATAACTGCTGGACTGAAGAGACCTTTGTTTTGTTTTACTTCAGGATCCTGGACATCTCCTTTAACGTTCTGCGACACATTGAAGGACTAGATCGGCTTACCCAACTTAAAAAACTCTTCCTTGTCAACAACAAACTCAGCAAAATTGAGAATTTGAGCAACTTGCAGATGCTACAGATGTTAGAGTTGGGCTCCAATCGAATTCGGGTAGGCTTGCTCTACAAGATGTTAGCTGGGAAGCCTTGAGCTCTTTAGCTTGGTATTAGCCTTTTCTGAAAGTGCACTTCATTGGCTTTTACTTGCAATTTTGTTCTTTTTATTGTTAGTTATTTAATGTGCAATTGCTTATTGCTGCACATGCTGAGTCCTTTAATTATGTATGCATGTAGTGCCTGGCTACTAAATTACTGTTTATGAATTTCTCTCTTTAGTGAACTGATGCATCCTCTGTGTGGTGCCTTTTGCAGATGACGGTTTCCTCCTGCTAGAAAACCAAGCTTATCAAAGCTAGCAATTACTGTTTTCTCTTACCTTCCTAGAGGCTGGCACTGCGTTGATAAAACCTATTGAATGCAAATTTAATTCTAGTTGGATGTGTATGGGTAATTGATATCCTGCTGTGTCAGTCAGCCTCACTCAGGAAAAAGATTTTCTTGAGGCTTTGCTCCAAAATGCCTCAAAAACCGGTACTATAGTGCTGATTATTTTTTTTTTTATTATTGTGCAGTTTGTGACTTTTTCAATTTAAGTGATTTAAAATCTGTGCCACTTAAAGGGAAGCAGTTCTGAGTAGTCTCTCCTGTCCTTAAGGTATGCTTTTTTGCATTTTGCCCAATTTGTAAGAGAACTGGTGAAACAGATGACACAAAAGGCTTGAAACGTGCAAAGTAAACTATTAATTTTTAGAAGCTTTTTCGATTATATACACTTTAGAAAATACCTGGAACAGATGAGTGCATTCCAGTCTGAAAATTGTCTAAGTTGATGCTCCCCATTTACAATCTCTGACAAAGTACTTGTTATGCTGAAAGAGCAAATTAGGAAAACAACTGTCCTCTGTGTTTCAAGCCTTGTGGAAGCACACTTCTCTTTCTAGAAAAGAGGGAAACTTCAGCTATTATAAACAGCCTTTTGAGGCAGAAATGAGTGCTGCTTTTACAAACTGGAAAAAATTTATTTTGCTCCTGAAGCTAAACTGGACTGACTTCCATCCGAAGGGATTTCCACTTTGGAAATGTAGATGGAAATACTGGAAATACTTAGGGAGGGGAAAAATCTAGAGCGTGAGAACGTCAGCCAGATCAGATGAGTGTATTAGGAACCATGGAATTTGCATAGGTTGGGGGAACACGAGTTAGAGCGACCCTTTTCTTTATTCAGAAACATAACAGGCTAAGCACACTGATCCTTACATTTCAAAAGCTGGGTTAAGCAAACCTGTACTGTATTCCATATCTAAACTGCAGTGCCTTCTGCTAAAAAAAAAAATCCAGCTAGATTTCTGAATTGATACTTAGGTGACACATTGCCACCAACGCTGAACCAAATAATGTTTTAAACAATTAGGTTAGATGTATGTGTTTTCTCAGTTAATTCTCAGCATATTAACAAAACAACCAAAACCAGAAGTTATTACCAGGGGTGATGGTGATAACTCCAGTCACCTTCAGGGATGGGGACTTTGAGTCCCCATTCCTGAAGGTATTTAAGAGACAGGTAGATGAGGTGCTCAGAGATATGGTTTAGTAGTGGACAGGTACGGTTGGACTCAATGATCTCAAAGGTCTTTTCCAACCAAACGATTCTATGATCACTCTATGGGTAACACAGGTTTCTTAAATGACTTTATTTTCAATATTTTTTCTGTTTATCTATTAATTCTGTTGTAGCTTCTTCAAACAGCACTGCTCTATGCTTCTAATTTCTTTACTGGAGTGAGTAACCTGTGCCTAGGCTGGGCATGAAGAAATACTTCTCCCGTTATTTGGGGACAGCTGGAACTCTTTGAACAGTTTTCTGTTGGTAGGGTGGCCTGGCTGCATGCTTTACAGGCAGGGATATCCTTAACTCTTTAGGGTAAACGCCTACGGACTGTCTGTTCAGGCAGTGTTCTTGCTCTGAGGTGCTGGATATACTCACCCCTGTTGCAATAAACCTGTGCAGTAATGCTGGCTTACTCACTTTGCTGCACACTCTGGCCTTTCGGAGTGCACTTACCCTGGAGTCCGTCCTGACTTTCGAAGCGCTTGTAGTCCCGTTTCTTTTGTTTGAGAGGTGGGGAAGCAGAACTTCATGCTTGAGCTGATGCATTTCCTGCTTTTTTTCCAAAATTGAACTGAGGCAACTACACAGCAAACACTTCTTTATTTGTTCCTTAGGTTTTTCCCCTCATGTCCATCTGTTTTATACTCACTTAAGTGTGGCTTTTTTTACAGCTTTATGTATCTATTTTTTTTCCCTGACTGTTTCTTCTCAGCATCCTCAGTCACAAGTATTTCCTCCTCAGGGCTGGGGGAGCTACCAATGATCAACAAATCCCTCATTTTCTTGCATGGTCAAAATAGGGGTAAGTCCATAGGCTAGAAGGAGGATGAATCCAAATCTCAGCTGACAAACACCTCAAGTTGAATTTGTTGTTATTTGTGGGATGGAGGTTGAAAAGCTTCTTTCCTTTCTGCAGTATATCTATAAATTCATAGTGTGTATGTTTGTGTCCATCTTCCTCCCGTTATACATGCACAGATAAATGTGCACATGGACACACACAGAGTAACTTAAGACTAATCTCAGTGGCCTCCCTCACCAGCGCTACTAGTCTCTGAAACACTACCAGCAAGAGCAGTGTGGAAAAGCTGAGATGTCACAAGGTACTTGAGCACAGCTGTACAGCTGTGTGTGTATCTATATCCTTATTACTGTTCTGTGAGCTGAAGTCTGTTTTTAAAATTCTTGTTCCTTTTAACACCTTTTTTAAATTAAGAGGCTTTCACCTGTGAAAAAACATGGTATTTTCTTTCCTTCTGTTTACAGGAGCCTTTTCTAAGCCCACCCTTTTTCCCCTTTTCTTGCCCTTTTTTCTCTCTTCTGTTCATGCTTTCTGGTGCCTTGTCCTTTGTAAATAAAGAACATGGCTCTCCTTGATGCCTCACAGAGATGCTTATTTTCTCCCACCGAAGGCTGAGCTCAGGACTTAAACTGGTATAGTGTATATGTTCTGCCAGTAGCATATATATTTAAAACATGTACATCATTTAAGTTGATATGTATATTTTCTGCCACTAGCATGAATTTATAGCCAGTAATTAAATGTATTAACATGTACGCTTATGAGACAGTTAACCTTGCTTATGACAGAGAAACTGTTCTGCAGAGAAGCTAAACAGCTCACCTCTGACAGTGCTGTGCAGCCAGTGATGGTCAGGACTAAATCTGCAAATTGTATTTTCTCCTCCCAGATTCTCTTTCCATTCACTAGTGACAGATTTTTCTCGCTTCACAGTGAGTATCTCCTGCCCTGGATATACCTCATGGCTCAGGGAATGTCAGTTTTGGTGTTCCCTGAACCTTTTCATTCTCTCCTTTTGCTGCCTGGACAGTGGAGGCAATAACGAGGACAAAGTGACATGACGCTTGCTGAAAATGAATGAATAGTAGTCCCACAAGCCAGCTGTCACACGGGCCGATATCTGTGGTGGTTTCACTTGACTAGCATTTGGCTAGCAGCAAAACCCAGCTGCTTGCTCACTTGCCCTCCACAGGGGATAGGGGAGAGAATTGAGGTGCAAGGGCAAGGAGACTGGCAGGGTGTTGGTACTTTAGGAGCCGAAGCTGCAGGCAGCCTCAGCCTTGAGCAATTAATTCCCGACCTTGAGTGAAAAGTAAAACAAAGTGATAAAAAACAAGAAGGAATGTTATGAGACAAGATAAGAGATTGTTTATGTGCCAGAATTAGTAACCAGTCAGAAGGAAAAGAGTGGCTTGTGAACATGTGGAATTATCCAATCATGTCAGTTGTTTAGGCACGTGCTTGCCGTGTGTGTGATAAGCGGTAACGAATCAAAAGTGAAAGAATGCTGCGTGCTTGGGGCGTGCTGGGGGAAAAAAGGATGTATAAGCAGTGCAAAGCTTCAATAACGTGCTGATGCCTGAAGACATCTCAGTGTTGGTCATTTCTTCATCTGCTGCAGTAGGGTGAGATAAGAACAATTTAATAATGGAAATAAAAGAAAACATAAAATGATAATGATAATAATAGTAAGAAAATATCACTATCACAGATGAGTGATACCCAGTGCAGTTGCTCAGTGACCAAGCCCAGCCTGTTCCCAGATAACGATCCTGGAGGAGCAACAATCCCGAACGGAAACCACAATCCTGGAAGAGCGAGAGCCCGAGTGAAAGCCAGAGAGAGCAAGAGAGGAAGAGCCCCTCATGAATGTCCTGCCCATGGGGGACAGGAGATGGAACAGCCCATTGGCAGAGACCAGTGCCAACTGGGGTGATTCATTTCAATATTCCTCATTGCCCCCTTAGATCTTGCACTTGCAGACTGACAAAACACAAAGTCCTTCACTCCCAGTGACACAAACGCCAACATGGGGATGTTCTCAGCGTTTCTCTCCTAACAAATCCCAGCTGAACCCAAACCCCAGCGCTGTTCGAGCTGCTGCACAGAAACTCAGCTCTATCCCAGCTAAACACCAAGACAGGTTCACTGTCACTGCACAAAGTCCTGTGCTTACTCTGCTCTTGGGTCACAAGGGAGGCCCTACCATGCGCATCCTCTATGTTGTGGAATTATCAGGCTTGTACTTCTCAGTTGTGCTGCTCTGTGGATCAAGGCTATAAAGTGCCAGCCACATCTACAGGTTGGAGTTTTGCGTCACAGTAATAACGCTGTCTCATTTGGTCACTTTGCAGGCAATTGAAAACATCGACACCTTGGCTAATCTTGACAGTCTCTTCCTTGGAAAGAATAAAATCACCAAGCTCCAGAACTTGGATGCTCTGACAAACTTGACCGTGCTCAGTATACAGGTATGGATTCTACTTCGTACTGTAATATTTTGAACAGCCCTGTTACATGAACCACCTTGTAATTTATGATAAGCTCTTCTCAGTCAGTGGGTGTTCAGTGTTTGGGAGAACTGGAAGAAAGTGAGATACTCTCTGTGCTGGTTTTTTTCATCCTTTCATACTAAATGAGATTGACAGATACTGATAACATGATAAAACAAATATTTGATTTTTATGGAAGAGAGAACAGGAAATGAATGTTAATCTCCCATTTCCTTCCTGAAATACTGTTTCCTAATATATTAGAATAATACCAAATGAGTTAAGTCAGAGAAGCCTTTATAATGGCAGTGGGCTCGGTGTCACCACCTTCTTCCTGAAAGGGAACAAATGTGAACAAACGTGTGCAAAATGAAATCTGTCCTTAATGAGCTTATGGAAAGTTTTTTCCTTTTTAAAAGGTGGAATAAAAGAAGCTCAACTAATTTATGTCATTGAGTCTCCTTCTCATCAATAAGACAATGTCAGTGCATTCTAATATCTTACAGCTGTTAGTAAGATACATGTTGTAGAACCTGTATGCATTGTTATTTTATAGGACCTAAAGAATTAAGTGCAGCAGAGTGTGTTGGGATTGAAGTGCTGTAACTTCCCTTCTGACCATTCCATTAAAAAGACCTGCAGAATTAGTGCTATGAATGTGTAGGCCTGTTGTGTCTAAAAACACCAGGTGGGAAACTTTCAGGCTACGACTTCTGATGGGAGGGTCAGAATCTTATAAACTTAGGAACTTTGGCTCCCATGGAACTTCTCATGCATCGGTAACAGAGATCAAACGAGCTGGGCTCATGAGATCAGTGTGGACCCAAGCAGATTGTTTCCCTTTCCCATCCATACTTCAGAGAAATGTTTTTTCTCCCGTGACTCACATGGGTTTTGGTTTGTTTAGAGTGAACTTAAACCGCTGTTCCACTTTCAGAACAACCGTCTGACCAAGATTGAGGGGCTGCAGAGCTTGGTGAATTTGCGTGAGTTGTACCTCAGCCACAATGGCATCGAAGTCATCGAGGGACTGGAGAACAATGTGAGGAGGCTCTTGCTAACTCTGTGAGGGAATTGCTGCCCTAAGCTGCTCCCATTAGTGGCTGTGCTTTTCTGGAAGTTTTTGTTCCTTGGCTGCCCCAGTTATATGTGGAGTCCCGAGTCTCTTGAAAAGACTACAAAGATCCAAGTATTTGTTATGTTAAAATATCTTGCATGGGTGAAGCTCCTCCAGATCTTCTGTAGTAGAACTGTTTTCATGACTTGGGGAGGGAGGGGAAACACAAGATTTGGTTAATGCATCAGCCTGGCTGATCTTCAGCAGTGGAAAGTCTGATGGCCATAGCTGGCTGTCTCTGCTGCCGCCTTTCCGACAGCAGTTTGGAGATAACCATGAGTTCTTTTCCATAGGGCAACAACTGGAGGTGGGCCTAAGAGAGATGAGCCATGTGAACGCTTCTGGTTAGGATTGATTTCACAGAAGCCTGTAGGGTTTTCATCCTTGCCCCACAGTAGATGGTATTGTCAGAGAGCAGTCACAATCTGGAACTTAGTTGGCTGTGTGCAAGGCAGGAAAAAAAACTTTTTCTAAAACTATTGAGTTTCTTGCTGCAAAAAGTTTGTTCAGCTCTGCTGCTCGAGAGGACACGTATGATCTGATTTTTAATGGATTCCCCTTCTTAATGTACTATGAGGAAAGCTCACTTTTTAGGAGCCCTTGGCTGGCAGTTGCCATCTGGCCAGTAATTGCTTTCATTTTTGTTACATGTTTCTGGGAGATCAGTAACCCATCTTAATTAACAACAGTCATCCTTGCTATATTTAGGCAGTGAGAGTTGTTGTGCTGCATGTTAGCAGCTGGCCATAATGTGTCTTTGCTTCTGATCATTTCCAACTCTAGGCCTGAAAAAAGTGAGACAGAGAAGATGAAAGGAAACCCAATCTAATGGTTTTGTGTTTGCTTGTCTAGAACAAACTCACAATGCTGGACATTGCAACCAACAGAATCAAGAAGATTGAAAATATCAGTCACCTAACAGAACTGCAGGAATTCTGGGTAAGTGCAGGCTGGAGCTGTTCCCTATAATGTCTACAACGGTGAAAGAAACCCTTCTGATGGGGAGCAGTGGGAGGTGGTGTACCTGTATGTCTCGGAGTAAACTCTTCTTGTTCTGGTGACCAACTTTAAGATCTTGACAGTCTGCATGGATAAAGTGTATGATGGTTTCCCCTAAGGAAAGAGATGAGCTTAAAAAATTATTTGCAGGGCTTTGCTTAGTGCTAATGAGCCTGTCTCTACTTAGGAAACAAGCCCTGCCTTCACGCGTGATATGGTTATGAAACAGCCCCACTGTGTCCTATTTTGCAGATCTCATCTTTCTTTAAGTGACTGTGACAGCGTAATTGGCGGAAGCTGGCTATGTTTCACCACTGCACCAGAGCACTGTACCTGTTTAGAACAGAGCTGATATGTTCATGTCATTATAAAGATGAAGAAAATGAAACCATCTTCTAGTTTACTTCCATTCCTGTGAGGCAGATAACTGTTTAGGGTGGCTGCTGTTTCTTTCTGGCACCCTAAATAGCAAAGCCCTTTGTCATTCATAAGTCTGGTCAGGAACATGCAGAGACATCCCCTCCTGAAACATCAGTACCCTGCCATATCTGGGAGCTGTGTAGAAATCTGCTCATGTTTGGGGGAAAAAGCAGCAGATGTTCATGAGTTAGCACGTGCTTTAGCTCTTGTAGAGTTTATGCATGTCCAGGCTGAGAATAAGAGTTGTGCTGCTTCATGTCTGTCATTTGGAGTTCAGTTATTTAAACTTCTGGGCAGAGGCTGAGATAAAAGGAATGGAAAGCAGCTGCAAATGAAACCAAGCTAGAGCCTGGAATCTAGGCTATTTGGGCCCTTTTCCTCATCTTACAGTGTGGCTCAGTGATGTTATCTAGCTGTGCCTGTTCTGTCAGGCACTCTTTAAATAACAGGAGCTGAGAAGCCCATTTAACATGACATCTTTTGGGAGGTAAAAAGGAAGCAGGGTGGCGTGGCTGGCGGGGGACCTGTCATGATCCTGTGCAGTTTCCTTCAGTCGTCCTCTTTGCTGTTGCTCTGCTTACAGAAGAAGGCATTGCACAGCTGTTTCCACTTGTTTTACAGAAAGTAAAGGGAAGATCCTAACCTCATTGGACTTCCTTTGCAAATAGAGTAGTACGTTTAAAGAGTCCTTTGTTAAAGCAGAGCATTGGCCAAGATCTGTTAGCTGAACCCAGAAAATGTCCTGCTGGCTTTTTTCAACACTTTAAAAAAAAAAAAAAAAGTTGCGTGCTTTCTGATAAAGAGCTGGGCAAAATTTTCTTTGATATGAACAACTGTTGCCTCTACTACTTTATATTTTTTCACTGACTGTAGAGTTGAAGCCACACAACAAAGTCCTTTGACACCTTAAGGAAGCAGAATCTCAAATCCTAGATGTTATGGGAATCTTGTAACGCTTTCCCAGTACCACCTCCCCAGTGGAGGGGCTGAGACATCCGAAGGTCAAGTGACTTGGCTGAAATGATGTTGAGATGAGCTGTAGTGGAATCAAAGAGCTACGAGGTTTGCTGTTGAGTCTTAGTCCAGGGTCTCAGCTACAAAGCTGTCTTCAGCCAGAACATGGGCAGTCCTGATGATGAAGCAGTTTTCCTTCACTGAACTAGCTGGAGGGAGGCAGCTGGAGGAAAGAGAGCTGCTTATCTGCCACACTGCAAACAGGGCACACAAAGTTTCCAGTGGGTGCCTGACAGGAGGAAGAATGGTTGTTGAGGGGCACCACAGCCAATCCATTGATTTTTAATTGTTTTTTTATTTCAAGGTGCTATTGCTGTAGTGACTGCTCTGTATCCAAAAGCAAAGGGTGGATAAAGTCTCTAGGCTGGGCAGCACGTGGCCGCCCTGCACGCTTTGCTTCCTTGCAAGGCAGCTGAAGCGTTCATCCCCTTGCCTGGGAATTCCTTTGCAGTGCTAGCAATGAGGCAGCTCCCAGGCTGACAGGAGGAGAGCCTGAATTGGAAAGCTTGGCACTTTATTTGGAGCGCAGAAGCAGTTTTTGTGGGAAAGTGATGTAAAGGGGACAGGAAAGTGTCACTTTTCACGTCAGTTTGGGACCCTTTTTAACATTTCCTAGGAAGTCATGAAAGTAAAGAGGTGTCACAGTGGAAAGAAATCTTGACATAAAGATTTCCAGCCCTTAGATAGAATCATACAATCAGTTGATTGGAAAAGACCTTTGAGATCAT